CGAGGCCAGGCAGGGACACATGCATGGGGTTGTCCAGGAAAGCCTGACTTGAACATTGGTGAGGCTGCAGGTAAGAGGGGTCACTGCCAGCCTGATGTTATCCAGATCTATGAGATCAGTGAGGGTCTTGGCACCTAGATTGACTTCAGGAGTCTTCCCTTGACCCTGAAGGAATCGTCACCAACTCGATCTCTGCTCATGCCCAGATCCCTTCCCCATAAGTCTCATATCCAAGATCTTTTTGACTGCCACTCTTCTCCCTCCTCATCCTACTGCAGAGCATTGTCTGGTAAGAACTGCCTCGATGAGCATGTAACCAGGAAGATCTCCTCTGGGCCAGTCTGCTCCACAATCTGAACAACCTTCCTTGGCTGACTCCTCAGGAGCTCAAGCTGGAAGAGAACATGCCTCGGACCTTCGGAGAACGATGACTTCACCTTGGTGTTGAACCAATTTGGCAAGTAGACACTCACGATGAATTGGACAATAAGTCTCAGGTTGTGAAGCTGGTTCCCTTTCAGTTTATGATGAGCGACCCAAATTCTGCAGAACCTGAGAGCCGTTGTGAGCCACCTAGAATGTGAGACTGGACCTATCTGCAGGTAAACAAGTCTATCAGGCATGACCCCAGTTTTGATGGCACTGCAAATCATGTAACCATAGTACTGGTCAGTATTCAGGTCGTCAATGACAGTATGTGCAAGCTCAACGAGTGGAGGGCCAACTGTGATTTTTTCAAAGCTCGAATTTATTTCTAACTCAGTGGCAGAGTCCAGCATCTTGCCAAGAGGACCAGACCATCTGTTGTTTGAAAGAGTCTTGCCATCCAGCTCCTGGATCAGATGTCTGAGTGGCAACTCGTTGGTGTGGAGGTCACAAACAATCCAGACCAGCTTCCTCCCAATCTTCCGCTCTATCCACTGTATGACCCCCCTTGCCACCCTGTGTTCGTGTTGGTGCTGTCCCCTCCAATGGCCTGCAGGGTCTGGTCTATGTTCCTCTCTCTGAGCCAGTTCACAATGTTATCTGCCACTATCTCAGCTGGTTTCCTGATGTCATCTTTCTCTGGAGTGAAATGCCACAAATACTTCCTTCCTGGTTCACTGCAGCAGGAGTAGTGTTCCTCCTTCACCATGGCAGGGAACAACTTGTCAGAATCTCCAACTTTCATGAACACTTTAGTGTCATCCCTTCTCCCATCAAAGAACAAACAATTGATTCCATTTTCTCTTATCCCCTTATCAAACTCCTCTTCAAGGTTACTGACAAGTTTCTCCTGAGCTTTCCTTACTTTGTTATGATCTATCACCAGGTGAACATCATCAGGTGTTATCAAACCACCGTCAATCCAGGCAGAAGGTTGCTATCTCTGCAGTTTCTCTGAGACCAGTGTGGTGTTTCCATGCTGGCCAGAGCTATGCTCGATATTCTTTCCTATTTCGAATCTTATGCCTGGAAGGTTTGGGATCATTATTTTCGTTGGGGACAAAGTCACCATTCTCCTGGTCAGCACTGGATCAGCCATGGGAAGTCATTAAATCCTGAATCAGCTTGACTCAATCATCGGCCTTTTACTCCTCACCCTGGCCTCTCTGTCTCTTCTTTTCCTCGGCAACTCTTCTCCCTCTTCTGTCTCTCTGTGGCAGCCTCTGTCTCTTGGACTGAATATCTTGGCTAGAAATCATGAGAGCCCCTATACTGCCAGTCTTCTCTCTGTGCTTGACAAATGCCAGTTCGATCACAGGAATCTTCAGTTCACGCTTGCAAATACAGGAGATGTGGGCCTCGGATTTACAGTCACGATCGCATCCAAACTCAGGACAGAGAACAATTGGGCACTTGCAAGTAATTATGTCAAATAACTGGTCCAGTTGCTTGGCAAAGCTGTCCTTAACTGCAAGTTTTCCTCTCCCAAGAGAGATATCGCTTGCCTTTTCCCAACTGGCTAGCAGTCTCTCACTAATCTTCTTCTGACTTGTTATGACTGGAGGCTTGAACTGATCGTTAGCCAGAGTGTACTGTGCCAAGACAGCTTTGGTCATATCACTGGCAATGTCTTTGTTTGTGTAAGTTCTTTGGTTCTTTTCACTGATTTGCCTGATTAAAACACCGTATCTCAAAGCATCTCTCAATGTAGGCAACTCCGACTTCAGGAGCTCTCTCCCAGACCCAAGATAGTGACTGAGATGGCTGGATTTTTGGTTCCTCGTCCTGACACAAGCAGCCATCGCAAATATTATCAACTTATAAATGCATCAGAATCTGAAACAGAAAAAATATTGTTAGTTGGGTTGTTAAAGAATGAAGTCAGAAAGCAATGTTCACTATTTAATTGTAATGCACTAATGCAGCTGTACGTTAGATTTTCGATAAATTTCACGCTAAAATTTACCTAGCAAAAGGTTGCAAAATATTGAAACTGAAATTATTTTCTGTTTATATACACTAAAATCTACCAAAAAAGTGATGGGCCATTAATTTTAGCTGATCTTCCCTCCTATGACACACCCTACTGCCCATGGCTAAATATACCTGCGGAGTGTCTGTAGGCGGAGGCAAATGATGGTGTTAAGAGTCGATATGGGCGTACTGTAGGGTGTAGGTGGTCGGGGAGGTGTAGGTATGGTGTAGGAAGGTGAGGTGTATCAACAGGTGACATTGGAGGGAGGAGAACCTGTGGTGTAGCTGGGTGTAGAGAAATGTGTAATACGAAGGGTGTAGTTTGGTGCAGGGTTAAGGCTTGGTGTGTATGGTACAAAGGGTGTATCTTAGGGAAGAGGAGGAGAAGGGAAAAAAGGAAAAGGAGAAGAAGAATTAGGGAGAGGAGGCGGAGACGAAGAAGAAGAAGAAGAAGAAGAAGAAGAAGAAGAAGAAGAAGGAGGAGGAGGAGGATGTAAGATTTATCAGAGGGATGCGTGAGAGAGGTGAGGACTGTGCGTGGGGTAGGAGTTGTGAAGATGCCATAATGAGGCCTTACCGTACTGCATCAGAGAATAGGCAAAGTAGGTGTGTTGGACGGTGAAGTACAGGTGAGCACCGTCGTTAAGGAGGGGGGGGGGTAATGAGGGGGTAGAAGTATATAGAGAGAGTAGAGGTGGAAGATAATGATGGGGAGAGTAGAGGGGGAGGTAATGCTGGGGAGAGTAGAGGGAGAGATAATGATATGGAGAGTAGACACACACACACCACTCATCTATATGGGGGGAGGAGCGTGTCTACCAGGAAGAGGAAGAACACAGCCGTATTATCCTTCACGCGGGAGGATAATTACGCGTGAAGAGAGTGTTTTATTACTGGAGGTCATGACAGGTAGTTTTCACGGGAAAAGGAATATGGTGCGTAGGCTGAGAACTCGTGAGGTTCACTCGACCATATTTTAAGTGAGACTCCCTAAAGTATGGCCATTATATAACATGTGAAAATAATAAAAAAAAATTTTATCCCAAGTAAAAGACATTTCTTATCTAGTAGATTTTTTCTCCTTTAAATCACATAAAATAACGAAAAAGAAAATATTCCCGAGCGCCACAAAAAATATAGCGTTAACTAATAAAAAAAAATCCCTTCCCCCAAAAATTCATTAAATTACACATAAAATAACCAAAGGCATTTTTCTTTTGCTGATAACCTATAAATACATAAATTAAATCCCATCACTAGAACTGTAATTTGAAAACATGGTAATATTAATGGCCGAAAAGTTTCCTGCTGACTGCCGGAATCAAACCTGGAAGTATAGACGTGAACGTTTAAAGACGACGAAGTGAGAACTGACCCTCTGAATTCTGACTTAGTTTGACGAAAAAAAAAAGAAGAGAGAAGTTTTAATGGATTTAATTCACCTAGAGATAATCTTTAACTGACGATATTGTTTTACTTTAGCATATAAGTAAACTCCTCGTCTTAATCCTTGAACTCGTGTTACTCCGCCTCAAACGATTCTTAAGTTAATGCAAGAAGTTTCTAAGGTTAAATTTCACATGTGTAATGTGAACTAAAGCTCTCAATGGCGCCGTTAACCTCCAGAGACAAGATTTATTTATATCGTGATCTTCAACTCCGTAAAAACCGATCAGCCTCAAGCTCTAGGACTCAGCAAGGTACTGTGTGGAGTTTGCAGACAATAGCTAAAGATAAGGAACTGAACACTGGCAAGACATACCAACACAAACAGATGGAAGTCTCTCCTCGGGAATGTACATAATGAAAAATATTTAATTTTACGAGAAAATGTCCTCAATTTAAATAATTTTGCGTTATTTCTATTTATGTGACTTGAAATCCACAGACTTTAGCTTTTAACATATCACGCAACATGCTTCAAGTATGGGCACTAGACACACACACACACACACACCAAGGGGTCAGGAAGTTTGAAGATTGAGACGGAATAAATAAAGCGATACACACCGAATATTGAAAAGAATATTGTAAGAACACTTTAGAAAATCTGAGAAATTCATCCAAGGGAGATTTCGCCAGTTGGTCATGATCTAATATTAAAGACAAGAGTTAATAGATTAAAGATAGTTGAATGATCTTTTGATCTTGTGAATACGACGACCTCCAGCTGAACTCTTCATCTGGGGTGAACTTCTTCCAAGTGTGTTTTTTTTTTGCCGTTTCTGTTCTCGAATTAGTGAAAATATCTCAAAACATCTTATGATAAGTGACGTGGTGAATCTTCCAACAAATTTAAGTTTCGATTTTATGAAGTGACTAAGATTTTATTTATTTATTTATTTATTAGAAAGTGGTCATGAGGCTGTCGTCCGCGGGGTCAGAGTTCTCTCAAGACTTTAAACACTTGATTACTGTCGATCAAAAGCAGTGTATATATACCCAGCTGTGATGGACAGAACGCCTATATAAGATTCAAAGACCAAACCCGAGAAAATGTTCCGAAGAAATAGCAAGAAGTGACGAACAGACAGAGAGATAAATAAAAACAAAGACATCCATTTCACTGACGATTTCGCATATAATTACATCAATTAAATTCGTCCTGCAATATTTACCTCCAAAACCGACATATTTCGATACCAAATACCACTTTAAGACCATAGATTATCGGTTCCTCACCTGATAATCCAGACTTTAAGATTTCCCATAAATGACAGTTCCGACGAGATCTGTTGTTTCTGCCATCGTCCACGAGGGTTTAATTAACGCTAAACACGGTGTCCCACAACTCTCAGGTAATCACAAAGGGAATGAATGACCTGTTCAGTGAGTGGTCCTGGATTTGGATCTCCATTGAAAGGTTAGTGTCAGTACTCGCCTCTGTGTGTGTGTGTGTGTGTGTGTGTGTGTGTGTGTGTGTGTGTGTGTGTGTGTGTGTGTGTGTGTGCGATCCAGTACTCATCGGGCTTGTCATAAAGACTCAATTCGTTCACAAATATCATGGGAAAAGTGTCCTCATTTCTGCCCCTATCTATCTCCATCAACCCCTTTATACGTGACACCAGGCGGGGGCCCCCTTCATCACCTCGCTGGCTGTCGTGTGATGCCTCGCAAACGTTCAATGATCGGAAGCAACGATGTGGCCATGAGCCAACCCCCCTCCCCCCTTCGATAATCCATAAAGGAAAAAACAGTACAAGCGATAAGAATGGTACGTCTTGGATTCTGTTTCCTTTCCACTGATCTAAATAAAACACTGCCTCCAAAATCACGATATAATGTGTTTGTTTTTTCTTAGTTAATAGAAAGAAAAGATGTTTTATATGGACTGTTCAGAGGAAAAAGAGCAGCAAATCTTCCTATAAAATATTACCCATAGTGACTTAGCACCCCAATATTACCCAAGAACAGTGACTTAGCTCAAGTATTACTCGAGAACAGTGACTTAGCTCAAATATCACCCGAGAAACAGTGACTTAGCTCAAATATCACCCGAGAAACAGTGACTTAGCTCAAGTATTACTCGAGAACAGTGACTTAGCTCAAATATCACCCGAGAAACAGTGACTTAGCTCAAATATCACCCGAGAAACAGTGACTTAGCTCAAATATTACTCGAGAACAGTGACTTAGCTCAAATATCACCCGAGAAACAGTGACTTAGCTCAAATATCAAGAAACAGTGACTTAGCACTCCCAGAAACAAGAAACAGTGACACCCGAGAAACAGTGACTTAGCTCAAGTATTACTCGAGAACAGTGACTTAGCTCAAATATCACCCGAGAAACAGTGACTTAGCTCAAATATCACCCGAGAAACAGTGACTTAGCTCAAATATCACCCGAGAAACAGTGACTTAGCTCTTAGATATGAACAAAATATATCAACTCACAGTGAACATCAAGCTTCCACTGGTCTTGAAGAGGTCGGTGGTCGATGGATGGAGACTCTGACAAGCACTTGAGGAACTTTCCACCATCAGAGTCATTAGGCACCAGCAATAGTTTACTCAGTGTTAGGTTACCGGAGCTCGCAGTCTGTCCAGAGGGAGAAACACGATATGATGAGACATGAGACAGACAGACAGACAGACAGACAGACAAATTATGATTGGAATTATTAGCACAAGCGACGATTATATGTTGAAAATTAGAGAATGATTCATAAATTAACCTATCTTAACCTAACCTGACCTGACCTGACCTAACCTAACTTAATCTATCCTAACCTAATTTAACCAAAACTAACGTAACCAAGTCTAACTTAACCCAACCTCGCCCAATGGTGTCGCAAAATGAAATAGAGGATGAAAGAAGCGGTGATATGAGTTTGTGAATGAGAGGACAAAGACGAAAAAGTCACTTAGGCAAAAAAGAAAGGCGAATGCTGCAAGAAGAAGAAGAAGAAGAAGAAGAAAGAAGATAGAATTATCAAACAGTATTGATCGAAAACAGAAATATTAACCCATATGTGAATAAAGAAGAGAAAGATAATAAAAATTTACAAGAAAGAAAAACACCAGAAAAAAAAACAGTTAAATCAAATACCTAAATTACACCCCCGTCAAGTTTAGTTAATCATAAAAACCACAGAAAATACTCAAATAAATTAAAGAAAGCAAAAATGTGAGAAATTGGGATAGAATGATAGATATTTGATCCTGGAGAACAAGACCGTCAGAAAGGGGATCAGAGGAAGCGGGTGATAATTGCATTACACACACAGCAAAAAAAAAGGAGAATTGAAAAGAATGGTATTGAAGATCCAGGAATCTGATTACGTAGGTGGAATCTGGATTCTCTTGGTGACAAAGGAGTTGATAATCGCATTTTCACAATTGATGGGATAAACGGATATAAGACATTTTCTGTAGTGTGAGTGGATGAACCTTTAACTCAGTCCAGGGATATATTTTTATCTCTTAAAGATAGGTTTTTATCTCTCTCTCTCTGTCTCTCTTTGTCTCTCTTTCTCATCTTTTGTCTCATTCTGTCTCATTCTCTCTCATTGTCTCATTATCTCTCACTCTCTCTCTCACTTCGTTCAGTACTTACGGAGGTGGAGGCATTGGTAAGCTGAACACCGTCTAGCCACCAGGTGATAGAGGCAGGCGGTCTCGCTCCAACACTCTGACACACCAGTTCGTATTCCTTCCCGGCTGACAGGGGTTCGTGGGAGCCCATCATCTTCACCGACAGCGGCTTGACTGTAGGAGGGAATAATAATAATAATAATAATAATAATAATAATGATGATGATGATGATGATGATGATGATGATGATGGTTGATAATGATGATACTAAAATAATAATAATAATAATAATAATAATAATAATAATAATAATAATAATAATAAACAATAAATCACCTTCTTACACCATCCATTGCTAATTTACATTCATTATTCATCTTATTATTGCTGATTGTTTTATTATCTTCATTAGTTGATTTTTATTTTGTTTAGAAAATTATTAAGAAAATTCACGGCATTTTTTTACCAAGGAATTATACGGCCCTCAGTAATGACTGTCAAGAACTGTGTGTGTAAGTTGATCAGCTCTGGGGGTAACAACCTGGGGAGAGTAACAGGCTGGGGAGAGTAGCACGCTGGGGAGAGTAATATTTGACTAACATGTGGATATGCATCTCACTCTAGGGATAGCGTGGGGGGAATGTAGCGGAAGCTGTATGTTCAACGTTAGTGCCACCACGTCCTACGTTTTTCAATGCTGGTTCTTAGTTAAGGTAAAACCGGTACCTTTCGTGAACGTGCATTAGACAGAGGACGACCACGTGATATTCAAAGACTCAACGCAAAGAATAGACACTGTAGATCGTCGAAGATGCTACTACATGGCCTCTGCGAATTACTGCCGATATACAAATGTCTCAGTGTACCGTTTGGAGGACTACACAAATATCAACTTTATCCACACCACCATCAACTAGTCCAAGCTCTAAACCATGATGACTATCCTCGATCACTGGTGTTCTGTGAGTTGTTGCTACGTCAGCATGGTGTTAATCGTCTCTTTCCATCTCTGGTGTTTTATACAGACGAAGGAAGCTTTTCAAGTGACGTTACTCGTAATTCCCACAATACGCCTACCTGGTCTGATAATAATCCTCACGGAAAGATTTGCAATCAACGTGCGGGGCGGCAATATTGGTGACCACCTTATTGGACCATATGTACTACTCCAGCGACTGACAGGAGAGACAGACATTTTCTTGTGCACACTTTGCCATTGCTGCTCAAGGACCCGTCAAGGTACAGTACATTATGGTGCCCCAGCTCAGGTCGCTCCTGTAACAACGAATACCTAAATGTTGTGTATCCTGACAGGGTTTTATGGCCACCTAAACCACCTGACTTAAATCACTTTGATTTTACTGGTGGGGTCACCTAGGGAGCTATGAGTATGCTTCAGAAACCACAACACGTGAATAATTGTGCCACTGAGTGCAAGACAGTGCCAGAAGCATTCACAATACCCTGAAATATTCCAACGTGTACGATAGTCACTTGAGGAAAATAAGGGGAACTTTGAACATTTACTCTAAATATATATCAGATCTCAGTATGTTCGAAAATAAATTGCACTAATAACATCGGATATTTAATTTTCCCTCCGTAGACTGTAATCGCGTTATCTCCTTATCTTTCACGTGTTGTAACTCTGAAACAATGGGGCTAATGTTCCTGTAGTCTTATACTCTTATTTTTGTATCAGAAACGTGAAACCTCTGTCGCCCCTTCCTCGACGGTGACAGAGGTACTTGATGTTGCCGCCCACCAGACGTTGTCATGGTACAGGAAGGAGAGGAATATTAACCTGACGTGTATATCACTCAATTCTGAATGATACCCTGAAACACCCTTGACACCTCTAGTGAAATATAAATACTGAAGCTTCGGTGACACACAGAGTTCTTTGGAAATATTTCGTTAATATATATTGAATTAGAGTTCATGATTCAATGTTATACAAATGGTGAAACTATCAATGTCATATTTTCCACTTTAATCAAGATTTTATTTTCACTTTCCATAAGTTGAAAGAAATATAATTTCATTTTCGGCCAAATATAAATTAGAAGCACGAGTTACAAGGATAAACTCACTAGCATTACCTACAAAAGCTTTCCTAATTACACTGCATAACAAACTCAACAATGAGGTAAACATGCAAAGCAAACACAAAAAGATCTTTCACTGGATAGAGATTGAAAAAAAAATCGCAATTCATCGTCGAGAAAATTAAAAAAAGGTCAAAACTTCTCCAGAAGATTTAATGGCAATAAGTTAGTCTCGGTGACTTTGATCTCTCGCTGATCTCTGTAAGATGAGAAGAAATAAGAGTGCAGGGGATAACCTTGATCATGTAAATTGAAAACTCGAAAGATCTAGTTCAAACACTCTCAGCAACAGAGATGATGTGTGAAGTATTGAGGTAATTTATGCTGCTATCGTCAATCCTTGGGGCAATTGACCTTAAGGAGGTAAACCTTCGTCTCTATAGGTCGTCCACAAAGGGTTAAAGCTTAAACCATCGTCCTCAAAGGGTTAAAGCTTAAACCATCGTCCTCAACGGGTTAAAGTTTAAACCATCGACCTGGGATGATAGATATAAGAGACGACCTTACTGGGATGATAGACATAAGAGACGACCTTACTGGGATGATAGACATAAAAGACGACCTTACTGGGATGACAAATATAAGAGACGACCTTACTGGGACTCGTAGGCTTTAAATCCAAGCATATTATGGTACAAGTAGCTTACTCAATTATTACTGATCCAAGTCAGCTTGGGTTAGGTTAGGTTAGGTTAGGTTAGGTTAGGTTAGGTGAATACCAACCCGTGACAAAAGTATGATAATGCACTTATTGTTCAGACGTGATTTAGAGCGGCTTCAACCAGTCAATTGTTGTTTAGTCGTGAAGAGAATGATCAGACTGAGACTTACATATTAAGGCAGACTAATATATTTACAAGAAAAATCAACATGAAATCCTAACATGGCAAAATATATAATGGTGGCGTTATTTAAATTCTATGGTGGCGTTATTTAAATTCCTACTTAAACATCCTAACTCATATAACTAACATTAATATCACTAATAACTCATCTGTTAAGTTGAATACAAGTCAGATAAGTAGGAGCAAAATATCCAGACATCATCAAGAGAATTGTGAAAGCACCTCCGATATACAGCAGTCGGTGTCAGGAGTTAAACTGACCACTAGCCCTACCAGACAGGTGGATGGCGGGAAACTAGGGTCCTCTGGTGGTTATTACCGTAACTAGTCTAATGGATTATATGAGCAACAGAAACTAAATGAAGTATACTCGCTAAATACATACAATTCACAAGCCATACTACACCAAAATAGTCCAAATGATATAATTATACCATGATATATAATATACCTGGGTTAATATGAGCTATAATGAAACCACTAATAACTGATTCATTGGAATTTTCCTTAATTTAGGGTCATGACTACCTACGGACTCATGACAAAACGAACATACTGAGATTAAGATGTTTGAACGAGTCACCCATAAAATTATGAGATGTTCTCCAAAAAACATTTACCTGCTGAAAAATATCATAGGACTTCTGTTTTAGCTGCCTAATATATGTTGCCTGAGCTATTGTCCCTACAGCCCTTGTGGCAGTGAGAATTTTAATTCATTTAACATCATACTCAGGGGTTGATATCGTACTCAAAGGGTTGACAACGTACTCAAGGGATTATCAACGTACTCAAGAGGTTGTAGTAATATATACCTTAACCTAACGTGAATTCTCGTTATCAATAATAAACAAAACTACATCATATCCCAAGTAAAGACACAAAATCTCTCAAAATTTATCCATCCCACGTTTATTATCCTTTAAGCAAGAAAATCCAACATAAAACTCACAATTCATCTCAATGTTGATAATGGTCTGGACGGGTGTGCTGTGATTATTGTTGGAAGCTTGACACACGAGGGCCGCGTGGAGGTGACTACGGGTGAGTTTCTCCAAGGTGAGGGTGTTAGTGACTCTCTGAGGGCCCTGAGTCTCGCTCTTCTCATCCACCACCTCCCCGTTCATCAGCCACACCACACGGGGAGTTGGTTTACCTGTAGAAATTAATGACGACGAAGGTGTTAAGAGTTTAGGATGGGATTGATGCTCAGGGTGTTAATGTGAGGTAATGAAGTTTTTAATTAGTTATAATATATTGGTGTATTAGTTTACTACGTTTATTATCATCTTTGTTTTTTATATCATTATCATTTTTACTCATTCTTCCTATTGTTATTATCGTTTTTTTCCCTCCAGGTATAGACTCCATCCTGTTGAAACAAAACAGCATATACAAACTCCTTTTACTATGTGTCATTAGTTCATTCCTACTACTCGACCCATTGCCACCTAGAAGGCAACATTTTATCATTACTGCTGCTGGTGGCTGTGAAAATCCTATTTTAGGTTTGCTCTTTCCACCTGATTCGCTCTGACTGGTCATATAGGAAGGGAAGTTTTTTCTGTTTTTATTTGTGTATTGTGAGGTTTTATTTACCAAATATTTAAAAATGTATGAAAATTTATATATATATATATATATATATATATATATATATATATATATATATATATATATATATATATATATATATATATATATATATATATATATATATATATATATATATATATATATATATATATATATATATATATATATATATATATATATATATATATATATATATATATATGTTTGTGATGAAACAGTCAGGCCATAGGAAATATTTCATATACAATTTCAATCTTTGGTGAATATATACATTATACTACACATGTGTTCAGTATCAAATGAACATTCCATATGGACTTGCATGTCAGTGTAATAGGATATTCAAGTTATTTTCAGAATGTGTGTATTCCTGGCAGAGTAGGCACGGCATATTGTATCTTATTGATAATTAAATGCATGAAAACAGATATACCATACCGTGTTCTTTGACATATGTATAATTCCCTTTGGTTTACGAGGATTGGTGCAGTAAATTTATCATCCAGACTTACCTCCATCGACCTGACAGGTGAGGGTGAGCGACTCCCCCTCGTTGTAAGGGCCCACCATGGTCCACACCGGCTGGCCTTCCTCCTTCGTTAGGATCGTGGGTGCGTGAGGCGGAACTGTGGACCAGAATCACTACATATCAGACACACACTCAAGTACATAAAGCCCAGAAAGTAAATCAAAATTAGAATAATACTTAGATTCTAGTGTTGGTTCGTCATCACCCGCCTCAAGCACCTCTTACAGCAGGTACACGAGAGGAACTAACCTGTCGTTCCACTACCTGGTGTTAACTGCTGAGGTGTGGAAGTGGGTGTATGTATGTGTGGCTTGACGGGAGAGACGTGTAGGCGGTAGGTACGGTATATAGTCTTGGGAAAATGAAGAAATATAGAACAAACGAAACAGAAGAGAAAAGATGAACAGAAACACAGACAAAAAAAGAACAATAGAAACAAAAAGACACAAATACAGACACAAACAGAGAGAGAGAGAGAGAGAGAGAGAGAGAGAGAGAGAGAGAGAGAGAGAGAGAGAGAGAGAGGATAACAATAACCATCTCTCTAACTACTCATCACTATCATCAATCCCAGGCGCTCACTAACACCCTCATCACTATCCATCGTCTCCGTCTCTGTCTGTCAGCCTGAATCCCCAGCAGTTAGTCCCTTGATCCGGGCTGGCTCTCAGTCCCCGCCGGGCCCTCTGAGGATTGTGCCTACTGACTTACAACGTAATTTCTCATTAATCCTGAAGTGCCAGTCTAGCCGGTTGGAGCTACCCTCTCTCCATCCCTGCCTCTCTGTCTGCCCTCCACCCCCTCCCTGTCTGTCCTCCATCTCCCCTTTCTGTCTGTCCTCCATCTCCCCTTTCTGTCTGTCCTCCATCTCCCCTTTCTGTCTGTCCTCCATCTCCCCTTTCTGTCTGTCCTCCATCCCCCCTTCCTGTCTGCCCTCCATCCCCCCTTTCTGTCTGTCCTCCATCCCCCCTTCCTGTCTGCCCTCCATCCTCCCCTGTCTGCCCTCCATCCCCCCTTTCTTTCCTGGGTTCTCCATCCTCCCTGTCTGCCTCCATCCTCCCATTTCACTGTCCTCCATCTCCCTTCCCCACATCTGCCCTCCATCCTCCCTGTCTGCCTCCATCCTCCCTTGCCTGCCCTCCATCCCCCCCCTTCTGTCTGCCCTCCATCCCCCTTTCTCTGTCTGTCCTCCATCCCCCCCCTGTCTGCCTCCATCCCCCTCCCTGTCTGCCCTCCATCCTCCCTCCCTGTCTGCCCTCCATCCCCATTTCTGGGCCCGCCCTCCATCCTCCCGTCTGCCCTCCATCCTTCTTTCTGTCTGCCCTCCATCCTCCCTGTCTGCCCTCCATCTCATTTCTGTCTGTCCTCCATCTCCTTCCCCTATCTGCCCTCCATCCTCCCTGGGTTCTCGTCTCCATCCTCCCTGTCTGCCCTCCATCCTTTCTGTCTGTCCTCCATCCCCCCTGTCTGCCCTCCATCCTCCCGCTCCGCTCCTCCATCCCCCTCCCCTGCTCCGCTCCTCCATCCCCTTTCTGTCTGCCTCCATCCCCATTTCTGTCTGCCCTCCATCCCCCTCTTCTTCTGTCTGTCCTCCATCCCCCTTCCCTGTCTGCCCTCCATCCCCCCCCTCCCTGTCTGCCCCCTCCATCCCCCTCCCATCTGCCTCCACCCTCGTCTCCCTTTATCCCTGCCTGTTTGTCCTCCTGTGTACGTGTATGTGTGCGTTTGTCGTCCTTATATGCTCATACAAACACACACACACACTTATACATTCATATTCATATGCACACTGTACGTACACACTCAAGACATACGCATATACATAGATATACTGTCCCCATGTATATATACAGACATGCTTTCCATGTCACTTCTTTTACGTATACAACAGAAAAGAAAACACACACACACACAAGAACATGTAAACAAACAAGAAAACACACACGCCGCCCATGCACTACCTCTCAGTCACACATCTGCAACACACACACGCGCTAAACACTCATCTTGGGCCTGGTTCTCACCGCTGGGACGAGGCCTTCCACCTAACCCAAGTTTAGGTTAACTTGTGGTGTATTAGGACGTGAGCCAATTGACTTAAACCCATGAAGAATTGGGCCCCTCAAAAGAGTAGGATCAATTAAGGGTAGGGGAACCATTAAGAGTTAGAACCATTAGGAGGAAGGTCCATTAAGAATAGAGTTCATTAGGACTTGGGCCCATAAAGACAGGGGGAGGGGAAGGGGGAAGGGGAGGTGGGAGGGGGGGGGCCTATTTTGCCTAGGAAACCAAAATCCCTCTTCAAGTATGGCCTCCTAGCCCCCCCCCCCCCCCCCCTCCTCCCTCTGTTATCTCCATCCTGCACCTTCACCCACTTCAGCCTCCTACTTACTGTATGATACATGATGGCCATTGAGGAACAAAACTCCCTCACTGAGAAGTACAACGACTGGTGAGAAAGGATAATATTCTTCCTACTGTAAGTGTGTGTGTGTGTGTGAGTGTGTGTGTGTGTGTGTGTCCGTAAGACCACGACGAGGCTTCCGGAGTAGTTAGTAACATTAAGGGTGGTCGAGGCTTCATACACTGTTAGCTAAGATAATTGAAACCTTTTGTTATTATAGGTTTTTTCTGTCTCATTATTGTTACTCAGTTGTTGTGTTCATCGATTCCCTTAAGCTCTTTATGTTATTGGCACGAATTTTATGTGACAAAAAATATATTTTACGAGTCAGGAGTGTTGGTGGTAGTGTATTTGTCTTAGCGTTGTCTGGTCTGCCACTCCAAATTCTCCTCCACGCTACCACCACCACCACCACCACCACCACCACCACCACCACCACCACCACCACTGGCATTATGTAAAACAACTTCCTTTGCATTAAAAATATCGCCATTATAATCTGATGTTTTTTTTCTTTTTTGTAGGGGATTAGCCCACCCGGGCCCAGGTCACTGACCCACATGAGGGCCTGGGGACGAGAATGTAATAATAATAATAATAATAATAATAATAATAATAATAATAATAATAATAATAATAATAATAATAATAATAATAATAATAATAATAATAATAATAATAATAATAATAATAATAATAATAAAGAACCACAAATAGTAAGTAAAAAAAACATAAAAAGTTGAAGAGTGAAACACTATATACAGTATATATGTTGTGTTGTCAAAGTAAGAGAGACAATTGAGACCCTGCAATTGTGTGTAAATGAGGCAGAAAGTCAGATCATCAACCTGGGACTTGGTCACATATGGCAGCAGGGTCTACCATAGACAACACATTATGCTCCCAATATCTTCCCAGGCGGTAGTACCTCCCTGTTTGGTAGCTGGAGTTTACCATCAGGCTGAGTCACTGCTACTAAACATTATATAAAACAGCCTAATAAAAGGTCACCATCACCGGCATAACATTTGGTGTCAGGTTGTTTCGGTCACACACACACACACACACACACACACAGACACACACACACACACACACACACTAAACATAAATGACATAGACAACGAGACATAATTAAAATAAGTCACACTAATTGAAAGAAACATATACAGTGAGAAACAGACAACTACTGAGTGAAGCTTAAGGAGAGATCCAACAATAAAAAAGTAAGACACAGACTGACAGACGGACTCGACTCCCTGACCAACCAAAGACAATCTATGTGCAACAGGAAACAGGAAGCCACTGGGTCTTAGCGGAGGCGGAGTTGGCCAGGCCGCGCTGCTTTAAGGTGGGATTTTGACGTTTTGTGGAAAAAAAAGTAAAGATTTACATTTCACGATAAATACACAGACTTAACCTGAATAACGACCCGGCTACAAGATTATGTATAAATATATTCATACACACGTGCAATCATTCTGTATTCATTGAAATATACACCAATGCATCAATCTATCTATCTATCTATCTATCTATCTATCTGTCTATCTATCTATCTATCAATCTATCATCAATTATCTATCTATCTATCTATCTATCTATCAATCTATCATCAATTATCTATCTATCTATCTATAAGTATCTTTACAAGTTAACAAAAGATAGGATGACAAAGGCACAATACATTTACTTCCTGAAACTCCAAGTAAAAGATATACATCAGCAGAGTCAGTAGGAAGAGCATGTTATTTGAGCATGTTTAATGAGCTCTTATTCCATGCAGTTTTACTGAAGCGGATCCAGAATCTACGAGCATTATAAAGACAACATTTGCTAATATCAGACTTGTTTTTTCGGGTACAAGAACTGGTTGTAATTAGACTACACAAGATAAGTATATGTATATAGTCTCATATTATATGTAAGGTTTGTATAGACAGAGAGAGAGTTCTATAACAAGAATGATCAGGATTTAATATGTAACCATTTCATCTCATCTTTTGTGGTCAATATACTGTATATAACAAAAATTCTTAAACTTTTCTCTATTTTTTTGCATTACTTTACCTATAAATCAAATCTTCCTTCATTTCTTATCTTACCTCTACTTTTATTCTCATTTTCCTTTAAGTGTTATCTTTCTTATTTACTCTTATTATTCTTTATCCTATTTTCCTTCAAGTTACCTCCGTGGGTTACCTGTCCTGGACGAAGGAGTCCAGTATTACCTGAGGCACAGTCATCACCTGAAGTAGTCTTGTTTTATCTTAGATTAATAATGAAGTTATCTGGTCTTGACGGGCATAGATGCTGTGTGTGTGTGTGTGTGTGTGTGTGTGTGTGTGTGTGTGTGTGTGTGTGTGTGTGTGTGTGTGTGTGTGTGTGTGTGTGTGTGTGTGTGTGTGTGTGTGTGTGTGTGTGTGTGTGTGTGTGTGTGTGTGTGTGTGTGTGTGTGTGTGTGTGTGTGTGTGTGTGTGTGTGTGTGTGTGTGTGTGTGTGTGTGTGTGTGTGTGTGTGTGTGTGTCCATTATTATGTTTGTGTGTATATGTATCTCGATACACGATCCATGTGAACGTTTGAAAGTAAACTGTTTATATATATATACTGTATATTATTATATTTTCTTTCAGTGTATACATGTCCATTAAATGTATTCCCTTGAATGTATTTTCTCGTATCTATGTATATGTGATCATGTTTAGTATAATGGATACACCACACTAAAGCTCCTCAACTCTAAACACAAAAATAAATTGTTATTAATACATTATCTATATACCTGTATACCAACACTCAGGTTCGCCATGTTAGCTTCTCTTGCGCTCTACTGATTATTTCCTGAATTCTGCCTGATGCCTGACTGGACATTGACTGACTACTACATGTGTTGGTTCCCGGGAAATATATATTTTGACTTGCATCGTTGTGCAGGGTGGAATAATCACACATTGACCTTCACCCGTGTGTATTTTAGTGTTCTCTTCGGCGTACTTGTGAGGAGAATCTGGCTTTGAATATGAATTCTTATTTATATGTCAAATTAATGCGTTTTAAGATATTGAACCAATATGGGAATGGTGGTCAAATCTGTAAATCTATAACTCTTTAAGAACTGTTATTTTGATCAATAACTCCTGAAGAACTATAATTTTAATCAGCAACTCTCGAAGAACTGTAATTTTAATCAATAACTCCTGAAGAACTATAATTTTGATCAATAACTCCAGAAGAACTATAATTTTAATCTGTAATTCCTCAACGTGTCAAACCATCGTCCTACAAGGGTCAAATCACAGTAAATAACACTAGAGGAAAACTATGGTGACATACTTATAACAGTGAGGTTAGTTCTGGCATTCCTGGTGGGACTTTTCTTGAAGTCGACCCGGCAGCGATATAGGCCTTCGTCGCCAGCCCTCACACTGTCCAGCACTAGAGACGCCGGTGATGACTGCAGGTCGAAGTGTCCCCGGCCTCCGAGTGTCTTCTTGTCTGCCCAGTTCCTCGCCTCCGTCATGCTGTTCTTGCGGGAGTCGTAGCTGAGGAGAGGAAATATAGGGAAGGCTTGAGGCATATGGTTTAAAGGGGTGAGGGATGTGAGAGATAGTGGGGGTGACTTGAGAGATAGTGGGGGTGACTTGAGAGATAGTGGGGGTGACTTGAGAGATAGTGGGGGTGACTTGAGAGATAGTGGGGGTAATGTGAGAGATAATGGGGGTGACTTGAGAGATAGTGGAGATGGTGTAAGAGATAGGGGGTCACGTGAGAGATAGTGTAGGTGATGTTAGGTTCTTTATAATAAGTTCTATATACAGGAGAGAACACAAACACCTGTATAGTTTTGTAGGTTCGGTTTACTGGATAAGAGTATGTACACAAAGGGGAGTAGTGCTCTCCTCAGCTAGGCTCCTGGTCAACTGCTATAGACGACGTATGGCAAGTGATACATTAGCAGCTTCCATACGTCGCCAGGCACATTAATTAAGCATGTGGGATATGGTAATTACATTGCCACACGCTGCTAGCTAGGCTGAATAAATAATACATAAATGGAGCACATACATAATATACATACATAATATATAATCCAGCATACATAATATACATACACCTCCCTCCCCCCTATACGCTCATAGTAAAGTCTTGAGCGGACCTTTTCTTTTGGATCCGTTCTGAGCGTCGAGGGACTTCATCACTGGGAAGGGTATGGGACCCATGACTACGCCTACTTTGTCCCAACGTAGGGAGGTCGGGTCCTGAACACGGACTTGGGTACCGACACTCAACCTGGGGAGAGGACGGGCGTGGTCGTTGTGGCGGGCGACGACGTCCTGAACACGTTCGGCGGCTCGGCGATCACAATCCTCTGTCTTAGCCTGCCACTCCTTGGAGAAGGATTGAGGGTGAGCAGGGACACAAGAACCAAGGGGGCGCCCATACAAAACCTGGGCAGGGGAGCGTCCGGTGTAGTTGGGTGTGTTGCGGAGTTCAAGAAGACCCCGGTCGAAGGCCTCGCAGTCAATGTTCCCAGAAGGGGCCACCTTAAGGATGAGGCTTCGAGTTGACAGCAGCCTCAGCGTGGCCCGTTGGACTGCCCGGTAATGGGGCGATGACAACACATGCCGGACTCCCCATCGGTCAGGGAACAACGAAGTCCGGCTTGTGAACTGAGGCCCTCCGTCCGGTTAGCAGGCGTGCAAGGAACGCCCACGTCACACGGAGATGAGTGGCGGAACACTGATAGTGGCGGCAGACGTCGTGTCTCATTACCGCACTTGATGACAACCGGCCAACCAGAAGACGGTCGACGTGATAACGGAAGGACTTTCCTGACACTGAAAAAAGTCGGCCGACCACAGACTCAAAAGGGCAGGTGGGGTTGTCGTCACTCATAAGAGGGTTCCTGCTGCTGAAAGCAGGTTGTGTAGTAGGTAAAGCGGGGCTTACACTTTTTTTTTTTTTTTTTTTTAAAGCGTGGCCTCCAGCCTCCCCCAATAGCCACACCTTCGCCACCATTTATTTACCTTAATATTAAATATCCTAATACATAAGAAACTATCCTATCTGTGTTAAATTAGTTGAGCCGCAGATCCATGAGGCATTCAGTGACTGTAGCCTCATAGTCGATATCTGCAGCAGTTGTCGGAGTAGGGGCAGAAGCTCTCGTTCCCCTGAGGCAGAGCAAAGCCGACCGAAGGAGAGAAAAGGACAGTCGACATCTCATCCAGGCTGTGACATAACTTCTGGGCTGCTGCTTCTGTTCGGAGATCAGCTCCGCGAGTCTGGCGTAGAAACATCTTGCACTTGGGCCCATCCCACCAGAGGTTGTGAACACCAGAGGAGTGAAGCTGCCTTGATCAACATTTTGAATTCTCTCCCCATATGCCCTTCTCTTGTCGTTCTCGTTCCTCCTATGCGCAGCATCGAGAGCTAGGTTACGGTGACAAACAGCCATGGGATCAAAAATCCTGATGTCGAAGAAAGCTCGCTGTCCCCGCGTCCAGAATCCTCGAGCACTGACGTCCACACGGGCTTCGTTAGATGTGTTTGAAGTCCTGTGTTGGAAGATCTCGCCATCCGGTGGAAGGAGGGTCGGTTCTACCATGACGTCCCGGCAGATTTCCTTCAACATATTTGCTGTGAGATCCCTTACCTCGTCATGCCTCATGCATATAAAGCCCCCCTTCTTGCAAACCATGGCGTGATCGCCATCATAGGAATAGCCACACACGCATTGGGAGGGCAAACCATCTACTGGCCAACCGTACCTTAGAGCAATGGCATCTGTAAATTCTTGTTTGTTGAGGCTGAAACCATTTGCCCTTATCGGTAACGTAGTTAACCAGTTCGAGGCGCCCACCTCCTGCGCTATAGCTACTTTTT